ATTGTCTCTCATCTCCTATTGCAAATGCCATGTATGCTGATAAGTATTTTCTCCCTTTAGGCTCTTTCCTACGCAGAAAAAGCCCATGGATTGCGCACTCAGCTTTTCAGAGAGAAATTTACATACACTGTTGAGAAGCAAATTGAAGAACATAATGGAACTGGTGAAGTTGCTCAGAAGGTTATTACATGTAGTCCTAAAAGCCTTCAAGTGCTTAAGTCAGTTGCTTGTGAAGTTTGGTCTTTCAAGACTAGTTCATGGGACCCTGTTGACTTTAATCTTAGTGCATGGAATGTACTTCACTGTTATCTTGAAAGCATTCTTCAGGTAAGACTAATCTTTCCTTCTTGTTTTGTTGTTTGATATAGGATTAATGTGGCCATAATGATATCTATTAATTGCATTTAATCATTCATTCAACGTGTAGGTTGGAATCATCCATGAAATGGCTGGAAATGGTGTTGAGGCTGAAACTATGTTATCATGGGGAAAAAGCATCTCTTGTTCACTGAGCTTGGCACTATTTAGAGCTGCCTTTTCTTCCGTCTTAGGTTTGAAACTTAGCTCCTCTTTTATTTGTGTCTGACTGCCAATTGCCCATCCTATACTTCATTAATGATTGAAATAGAAGTAGCTTACATTTTAACTTTTGATTACATCAGGGAAACTATATCGTAAGAAACAGCTATGGGATTTGGCAGAAAAGGAACTACAAAGTGCTAGACAAGTTTTGGCAGATAAGAGCATAAATTTTACTTGCTTGAAGTGCAGACTGATGCTGGAAGTCAATGTTGATCAGCAACTTGGTGATTTGTTCCGAAATCTCTTTGATTGTTCAAAAGGAAGTAATTTAAGAGAGAGATTATCTCAAGCTGAAGACCTGTACAGAAATGCCCTTGAGAAACTCAATCATTCTGAGTGGAAAAACTCTATTAGTTGTTTTGATAAAGAAAGTGCCACTCACATTGCAGCAGATCAGTCAGACACAATGGATATTGGAAAGCCTAGAAAAACAAAAAAACTCCCAAAGTCTGTGCTGAAGGAGAAAATTTTGATATCAGAACGTAGTTCAAGGTTAACACGTTCTAAATATCGATCATCTCAAAACCAGACTACAAACGGTGCTGTTGAGGCTCAAGTTGGCCTTTCAGAACATTCAAAAAGTGATACTGTGTTGGGAGATGCTCCTATTGAAAATGAATTACTCTTGGAAGGGAGAGACCGTATGGATGGAAGGGAAGATGAAGTTGCATGCATTTGCAATAAGCTGAAGTGTTGGCAGTGCCTTCCATTGGAAGTTATGAAGTCTGGGTTTCTGAGCAGTTATATAAATGTAAAGTGGGAATTTGCCCGCAGGCGACTTTCAGTTAGGGTTCTCGGTGGCATAGGTATGGTGCAATTGCTAGTTATAACTTTGATTTACTTGATATTTCACTGAGTTTGTCCTTGTTCATTTTGCATATAACATACTATTATTTCAAATATGAAAGGAGAAGCTCTACTGAAACATTTTGCACTTCTCATGTAACACAGCTAAATGATATGATAGGTACTAAGCTGTCTCTCTCTGGGCTCTATTTTTGCAAGATGAAGGCTGGGTCATGGCCTTCCTTTTTCTATTGTGACAACTGACAGGCTGCCTTTTAATATTTTTATCATGCACTTTTTTTTTTTGACCTTCAAAATTTTCATCATGCATGCTTCTGACCAATCATGGGAAACATCACACCCCATTTGGTTGACAACAAAAGAAAAGGAAAATGAAAACAAGACTATTATCTAGGTGCCAGAAAGATATTTATTGTTTTAGGATTTCAGAAAAATTCACTTCAGGTGCCAGAAAATACCATCATGGTAGTAGATAATTATAAGGAAAAATATGGAGGGAAAGTAAAGATATATGCTTTGAAAGAGATGGATATGCACAATGGGTATCGTCAAGGCTTCTTTTCCTGTAGTCCTTTTTTTTTATTTCCTGTGAACTAACCATAATTTTCATTATACATGTGACTCTTGTCCTCTATTATGTATGAAGGATTGAAGTATTGTCCATATCTTTCTTCTTTTATTTATAAATTTTTATTTTTTCCATTTATAGGGAAATGCTTGGGATTTTGTCGCCAGTCCCATGAGACACATGAAGTTATTCTGCAAAGCATATCTGTCTTAGTCAGCAGAAACCCAATTAGTCAGAGTTATTCCACTGTCCACATTACTTTCTTGCTTGATTTGATTGGGAAGGAATTCTCTGGAGATGCCTTTGCCATTGAACGTGCAGCAATACTGTATATCATGAGTTGGTTCTCTTTGAAGACTTTCCATTCTAAGGATACCAGGTTTTTTTTTACCATTGCTGCTTGAATCTCTATGTGATACTTTTATGCTGATTCCACTGCACTTAGAGGTTTACAAGTGCAATTGTTTAATCATTATGGACAAAAGTACCCCTAGTTGCTAAATTCCTAACAATTTAGATGGACATGAACAAAACAATCAACCTCACTGAATCAGTTTATTGTTGCTTATTGAGCATTATATCTTTTGCGCTGTCAACTTACCTTTAACCCTGATTGTTGTTTTTTGTTGTGAACAGGAGGATTTTCTTTGGTGATTTGGCTCACGTTCAGCTATCAAAAATAGTCTTTTGGTTGAAGCTAGCATTTGTACTCTCTCGTGAGGTTCCTATACTTTTCCAAAAGGTAAGTTTATTCTTGTTTTTCTTTGTAAATCAAATTATTATCTCCATCTATCTTTCAAGGTTTCAGACCCAACCATGAATACCACTGTATAGTATATAAGTTCTGAAATTGTGGTTCTCCTTTTCCAGTTAACAGGGTAGTTTGCTTCCTTTTTTTTTTTTTTTCTCTATAGCTGTTTGTCCATTCTCTTGCTTTTACTTTTACATGGTATCAGTGATTGAGTTTTGTTTTCCAATTGTCTTATGAAGGTTTCTAGATTGCTTGCTGCAATGTATCTGCTTTCTGCCAACAGTAAGCAGTTTTCTTTGCCATCTTCTTGCAAAGCGCTCTCTGAAAGTTATTGGGCTTCATATTTTCATCAAGCTTCACTTGGGACTCATCTTAACTACCAGTTCCTTTCAATTGGTGGGAGAGTTAAAACTCAACACTCTATAAATCCTGAGGTATAGCATGTTTGTTATCTTGTCTATTCTTTCACTGTACTTCTTTGACTAAAATGCATGACCACTCTCCCAAAACATAGTAGCCATCCTGCCCCACCCTGCTGATTAAGCCCCTACTCTCAATTGCATGTTATGAATGGATTGCATATGCTGCTATTTTATTGGTTGGAGTTTCAATTTTATCCTATGGTAAATATGTTCTGTCATCTGTGTATGAAATCAAATGCATGTCATTTTCTTAATTCATAGTCTTCCATTTTCAGGGTTCATATCCAGCTAGTTCAACCTGCTCGAGCACAGAAAAATCCATCTTATTCAGGTTTCAGCTGTCATAATTGCAGAATCAAGAATGTTTTACTCTTCTAGTCTTCATGCTTTCTTTCTGCTTTTGCTCACTTTGTTCCCTTTTTTTTCTCTCTCTTATTTATTTATTTATTTTTATTTTTTTATAATTATTAAAATTTTCACAATTAGAAATAGGGTCTTAGTTATACTATGATCTAAAAGAGCACTCTCACTTAATCTTTCTTCTTTTACTGCTAATGCAGGCTTGCTCCTGATTCCACTGAAGATCTTGAACAATTTGT